GCCGCAGGTAGTGACAGGCCCCATGTTTTCGACCTTGATCTTCTCCCAGGGGATGCTGCAGCGTACAAGGCATCAGGGCACGGTTGGGGAGAATGACCAATGCCAGGGGCACACCTGCACGGCCTTGCAACCAACGCCTGGATCCGCTGCTTCACCAGCCTCCCTACCTGGCCCTGTCAGTTCTCGCCCGGCCGCGCTCGTCGGCATCAACGCCGACCAACTACGATACAGCCAACATGGCGCAACCTGTCTCCACCCGTCTCCCTCGTGACCCCATGAACACCTCCTGAGGGTCAGTGCGGCCCCGCGGCCAAAAGCGCACCTGTTCTTGCGGTGGCGCCTGCGCCGCTTGAGCTTGAGCGCCTTCTTCTCCACAAAACTGAGCTCCCACAGGTACCAGCTGCTCAGCGCCAGGCACAGCGCGCACGCCACAGCCTCGGCAATGCAGCCGCGGAGGAGGGTTGCCACATGGCTCTTGACCTGGGGTGACGGGGTGCATGGGGTCGCTGGTTCGGTCTGCCAAGCCTAGACATGGCGCACGAGAGAGGCTCGTTCGGCGGGGCTTGCAGTGCTGCTGGCTGCATGGCACCAGCCTGCCAGCGCCAACGCTGCTGCAAAATCTCGTGCAATGGGATTATGGTGGCGGGGGCTCACCTCGTCCTCAATTGCGGGCAAGTACTGGCAGAGGCGGGAGCCGGCGGCCTCGGCCCCCACACGCGGCGTGCAGGCAGAGGACTTGAGCTGTTGTTATGGAGGGTGGAATTGCGCAGTTCCGCAGTGCGGAGATGCAGCAGTCAGATCAGGGTTTGTCTGCTTTGCTCACACTGGTGCCAGTGATGCGTTGTACGACAAGTGCCAAGCAGCGCCCTTTCCCATGCGGTCATGCAGACAGGGACCGCCGCCAACGACAACGCTCTCCTTGGGCCCCCTGCCTGCCGTGTGCGCACCTTGTGATCAATCTCAGAGGGGAATGTGTAGCTGACCAGCGCCAGCGCGGTGGTTGCAACGTACAGCAGCTGCAGCCCAATCTAGGAGCAGGAGGGGCAAACAAAGCCAGAGTGCGAACTACACATCACCTGGGGCTGAGCAGGCACTGTACCCTTAGTCAGACGCAAGGCTTGTTCCTGGCTGGCCACGCAGCGGCTGCGAGTGTCTCAAAGGCAACATGTACAGCATGGCTGAGACCACAGCAAACACAAGGATGTCCGCCCTCACCTGGAAACCTAGGATTGAGCGCTTTCGCGAGCGCCCCATCACCAGCCAGCAGGCCCCTACAATCGCCACCATCACTGAGGATGACACGAAGCTCGCCAGCGGCACCCAGCCGTGGTTGATGATGCCCCAGAAGCGGTTGACAGACAGCAGCGCTCGCATAGACGCCCAGGCGCAGTGAGCTGCGATGCCCTGGGTGTTGCAGAGGAGGGGTGCAAGGCACATGTGGCCACATGGTTCAGGGCTGAAGAACTTGTGAGAAACCCTGCCGTGGAATACAAAAGGCATTGCAAGCATGGTATCATCCAAGCGCACATGCGGGCGCCTGTGCGCATGCCGGAAATTCAAGGGCCACGACGCGTGCACCCATCGTGCGCCCAGGCACAAGGGACCCCAGCACAGCCCCCGCGCACCGTGGCGACCACCAGAGCCAGCTGCAGCATCGCCTCCCCCGGCGCGTTGAAGTGCGCGTCCTCCCGCCACTCGCGCGCCAGGTCCCCCAGCTCGCCGATGCTGCCCACATCGCTGCCCCAGGCGGAGATCTCGCTGCTGCAGATGGAGAAGTCGTCGTCGTCTGAGTCGACAATCAGGTGCTTGCCCTTCTTCTCGAACACCTCGTCCAGCTGCTTGCGTGCAGCAGCACGCAGCTCCGCCTTGCGGGCCTGGAACTCCTCCTCGCACTTGATCTGGTTCTGGAAGAACCTGGAGGGACGCCGCATGGGTTGGCGCGTAAGCAAGGGGGTTCACCTGGTCAGCGGGCGGAGGGATTCGCCGTCATGCGCTGGGCTCATTTTGAGAGAGGGCGTGGCTGGTCGCGTTGGGCAGGGACGCTCATGTCCATGCAAGCATGCATGCAGGAGTCTATGCATTTGGCATGCAGTTGAATGCACACTGCGCACATACGGGCCGGAGCACACATAGGGTGCACATGAAGGTGGCCTCACTACCCTCCCAGAACGCACCAGTCCTCTACATACCAGGAAACAGGGTTCTTGTTGTAGTCAAAGCGGTCAGCGCCCGGAGTGGTGTCGCTGGGTGCGTTGGCGTGCTGCTGGAAATGAAGAGGAGGCACAGGGTTCCGTTGACATGCAGGGCGGCGTGCATGCATCGAGCGGCGTGCAATCGGGTGAAGGAATGTTGAAGGCGCTAATCAGATCCACTGCGGGCAGACGCGTGCTTCCATGTGCAGTGCATAGGTGTGGCAGCAACCAGCGCAGCAACAGCTGCAAGGCGGGGGCGACTGCGCACCTGCTTGCCCGGCGAGCCCTTCAACGCGTTGAGGCCGTCGTCCGACTCCACATCTCCATCACAGTCGCTGTCGCATACCTTGGGCCCTGAAAACCCGAAAGGGCAAGACATACTCCTCGCTCAGACTCCTGGACTGGATGGGTGTGATCTGGCGCGGTGTGTGTCTGCAGCTGTGATATGTAGAATATCTCGATTTATAAGTGTTCATGAAATGATCGAATGCTGTGCTAGCCCTTTTTACGCTCCGACGGTCAAGATGGCGCCATCCATCTGACACCCGCCGGCCGCGCCTTAGTACAGACACGCGGTGTGCCTTGATTTTGACTTTGAAATGCATTTTTTTATAATGCTGTCACACACAGCACCGGCCAAGCGGCACGGACTCGGCGTGGGGCGGCACCCGCCGTAGCTGTTACTTCCCCCAGTGGTGATGCTGCACTGTACGCTGCAGAAGTAAAGAGCGGAACAGGCATGGCAGCGCAGCCTGCATACAACGCATGTGACTCTGCTGGCCTGATTTCCGATGCCTTACCTCAATTCCAGGGCGCCTGACTGCCGGCCGGCATTTTCAAGCCTGACTGTTTTTTGTGACGGGCTGGCTAGTCGAGTTTGCAAGTATGAAAGTACGGGATTGGAACGAAGTTGGGATACATCAGGTTTTCAAGGGGCAAGCAACTGCCGCTACCAATGCACAGCCCGTTTGACATGCTGCGGTGTCGAGCAGTGTCACCATGCGTCTGATCAGGCGTTGACCGGCTAGCAAGACTGTCCACATGAGTGCTGCACAGCCAAACACTTTCACGCCACAAAGGCTCGAAAGACTCGACTGAAATTCACCGAATTCTCACACAACCAACATGCATGGATGCGGTGGCTGGTGCTGGGCTGTTCGCGACATGAGGAATTGCCCGTGTGCAGTTTCAGCATGGGCGGTAGACTGTACATGTGCGACTGCAGGTATGGAGTGTCTACACGCATCAGGCGTTTTATGTCGCAAATCACTGATGTTTTGCAAAGCAAATGCACACGCTTGGATGTGGCCTTGCCTGGTAGTGTTATGCACCATTTCTGGTGGCGCTTGACAACCACTTGGACCCGCAGCTTGAGCTGCGTTCTGAACACACATGATAGCACTTGTGAGGAGGTGTGTGGGCATTGTGGTGGCTGACATTGCATGTGACCCGGCGCCCGCTGGCC